CGGCGGTAGTATCTACGGCATGCGTGGCAATGAAGGTAGCGATCGCGGACTTGACAGCATCTACCGTTACGGGATCACGTAGCAGGGTTTCGTTGAGGCGCCACGTGTAAGAACGGGGGGGCTGCCCTGGAAGACAAAGAGCCAGAGAGACAGGGTAGTGATCCGACCACACCTGGGAATCAATTGTTGCGTGGGGATTCCACGAGAGGAGATGATGGGAGGTCAAGAAGTAGTCAATACGACTATGAGAGCAGTGGGGGAAGGAGTAAAAGGTGTAGTCCCGCACGGAGGGGTTTAGTATCCGCCATATATCCACCAGCTGGAGACGATGCAGAAGGGCCCGAAGCCGATTCAGTTGTGACAGAGAAACAGCGGATCTCCCCGAGGAAGAATCTAATCGGGGATCCATGGGAAAATTAAGGTCACCGCCCACCACTATGTAGCTCTCCGCAAAAGTCTCCAGCCGGCGGAGTATGGACAGGAAGGCAGGCAATGGGGATTGATTAGGCAAGTAGACATTAACAAACGTGAAGGTCTTGTGGAAGAGGGTCCCTTTCAGGAAGAGGTACCTCCCATTGGGGTCCTGCTCAACCTGCAGGAGTTGGAAAGGCATAGTGGAATGGAAGCATATGGCCACCCCCTTGGATTTAGACATGGTGTTATTACTGGTATATACCAGGGGATAGTAGCGGGAAGACAAGCGCGGGGCCACTGGGTCAGTACCTCTCTATTTTGACACCATACAGAGCTCTCCAGCCTACAATTTCCACCGGTAATGCCATACTTACATTTAATTGCGTGCAGGAAATACTCCACAGCATGCTGGTATAACCTCAGAGCCTCTTCATAATTCTTATTCTTGTCCTCCTCTGTGGCTTTGGTCACCAGATCAATGGCTTTCTACAAGACAAAGAAAATTATGCATTTGAAGTTTGTGTAATAAGCCATTTAACCCTGTTTTTTAATATTAATATATTTTTTTTACAGTTTGGAAGAACTATATTGTTTGCGCCCATTGTTCAATACTATAAAAGGACTAGATCCCTGGATAGTTCTATTGTCAAGAAACAATTAGTATTAGCAGCCTATATATTTACAGCTACTACACAACATATCATCTGAGTACAAAAGTGATAAATTGATTTAGCTCCTCACGGTCGGGAAATCGTGGGCACTCTATCGCCACCTCACAATACAACCAGAAAGGGGACCCACAGAAGAATGATAAGCTGTGCTCTACTGTAGGGCAAAGCAGCAGATATGCCAGCTCCATATAGTCACTTTCCTTCATCGACGCTTCATTCAGCTACTGGGAATGAAGGCAAGAAGCCTTGTGTTAGTTCCAATTTGCATATAGGGTGCTGAAGACTCTCTCCCTGCCTATGTGACGACACTAGGCGCCTGAGCAGTCAATCACCGGCGCTATCACATGGGAGGAAAGGAGGTGAGCCACATGATCCGCCATACCTGGAAGTACTGGGTCAGTTTCTTCATTCCCAGCATCGGGGTAGTGAAGGAAGGCAAGTATGTATTGCTGGTAGGCTCCGTATTAAGCTGAAGCTTTTTATTTTCCCTTTATGGGTACATTTATCAACATTTTCCAATGCCATCTTATTTAGAGCAAAGTGACGATGTCTTTTGCAAAGGCAACCCCTGACCCACTGATACTCGCCTTGCCAGTGCTCCCTCCATCAAAGGTGGTACTAAAATCCCTGGTGCTGATTGGTGTCTGATATTAGCGGGAGAGGTGACGTCACGCCTGCTATGATGTAATGGTGCTTGGGCCTAGCGACTGGCTGACTCTAGAGCTGTCACATGGGAGGAAGTCACATGTTTCCCTATAACTGGAACCAGCATGCATGGTCACTGACTGCAACATAGGAAGAAGTGGCGGAAAAGAGCTAGCAATGTAAGTAAAAGGTGATCAGGGGTGATAGGGGGAGAGGTGTATGAAGTCCATTGTGCCTTATTTAGCCTAAAATGACAGCCAATACAGAACAACGGGATGTACATTACTATGACATACAAGTCACATATATGTATAAACTGCCACCAATAACTATCAATAAAGTGCACTGTGAATGAGCACAATGCAATAGTCCATAATGGCTACAGCACTGTGTAATACAAAAAAATCATTATTTACGGCAATATTCACCTACTTCTCGGTACCTCACCCTGGCACCCTGCAATGACGGTCCAATGCTGCAGAGACTGGTGCTGATGTCATTACGCCAGCCCCTCTGTCTGATGACCGCTCATCACTGGACGAGAAGAAAGAAAGAGGAGGACTCTGTGTGTCACAGAAGACCCCTGGGGTCAAAAGGTAAAATTTGCCGCATGGACCCAAGCTGGAGTTGGTCTTCAGATAATTGAAAAGCAATAAACTGAAATCTGATTGGCTGCTCGGGCTTACCACACACCATGGCTGCTTTTTGGCCTCTCTTCCTGAACAAGCCAGTAAAAGACACTGGCCACGACTGTTGATGTTTATCTGGCTGCTGGGCAGAGCCCCAAGTGTAACATTACTACTGTACATGTGACTCCAATGAACATTACCTGAGTCACAGATAAATATAGTGGTATGACAGCGTGATCACATGACACACACCTAGTGTTTGGGTGCAGTCTGATCACGAGAGTACAGCAGATCACACACAGTGGAAGGGCTTTCCATCAAACAGAGGAAATGATCGGATACATTTGTCTTCTCTTGTTTAAATAAGAAACTTGTATAAGTACTAAATTCTACAGGACTGAGCAAGGCAAAGGTTAGATAGACTGAACACTGGGCTTATATCAGAACCGACCAGGTTTCTTCCTCGACCTATTCTCTCTGGCTTCTCTAGTCCTTCTGACTTCTCTTAAACTGGTTACCCTTCTACTTGTTTTTCCATTTCTTTCTTCCCTTTACACGTCCTGCCTCTCTCTTTTCCTCTAACCCCTCCTTTTCCCCCATCCCTCGCACCCACCCTGTGTCACCCGATGCTTTCTACCCCTTGGATTTCCCCACCCAAGAAATGTGTTTTTGAATGTTTCAGCTTCACAATGTTTTACAAAGCCTTACCAATTGGTAGCGCATTGGGCCACATTGGATGTTTTCCATCGGAGAATGGTGGGTCCTAGGAGATTACCCTACAAAATGAGTGGAGAAACTCCACCTCTCCAGCTGTTGTTGAACTACAAGTCCCACGAGGCATTGCAAGATTCTCACAGGCATGACTCCCAAAGACATGCCTCCATGTAGGATTTGTAGTTTCACCACAGCTGGAGGGCTGGAGTTTGCCCAACCCTGACCTATGACCTAATATTAAGGTTATCCCAATGCATTGCTTCCACCCTAAGATTGTAATAACCAGTTTTTTTATTATTCCGATGCCAATTGTCAATATTTGTATATTTTAGCTTACACTCCAACTACAGCGTCAGCTCATTGGTCTGTTATTGCTGTTATTATTTTATGCTCTGTAAAAGTTAAAAAAAATGTTTTGTTAGAACAGACCGGGCCGGTGTTGGAAACCAACATTAAAGAGGAACTTCACCGTCTCCCCCACAAAATTATTTTCCTGCGGCCTTTACCTTTGTTGTTGTTGTTTCTATACTGGAAAACGTACTTGCAAGCCTAGCAGTTACAATGTTGTCCTCTTCCCCTGCACTGCTCTACTCCTACAGGTCCTACATCCTGCACCGCCATCTTCTACTTGTATGTCTTCAGGGGACAGCTGTCTCTTCCAGGTACTTGCAGCCAGACCTCTACTGACGCAGTGCCCAGCGCATCTTCCCGGCGCTGTGAGGAAGCCGGCAGCCTCCTGGGATATTGATATAATGTATCCCAGGAGGCTGGAAACAGGAGGTGGACAGGAAGGGAGTGTATGGTAGGGGGGCTCCACCAAACCATTAACATAAACCAGGGTGGGCAACTGCGGCCCTCCAGCTGTGCTTTAACTACAAATCCCATCATTCTTCTGCCTCTGGGAGGCTTTCCTGTAACTGTCAGTTTTGCAATGCCTCATGGGACTTGTACTCCAACAGCTGGAAGGCCCACCCCTGAGATAGATGAAAGTGAAATTTGGGAATCCTTGCTTTGCCAATGATCATGTGATCAGTATACTATAGATCACTCCCCACCTCTCCAATACCCTGCGATCGGTATACTATATAGCACCACCACCTCTCCAATATCCTGTGATCGGTATACTATATATATCACCCCCCACCTTCTCAATATCCTGTGATCAGTATACTATATATCACCCCCACCTCCCCAATATCCTGTGATCAGGATACTATATATCACCCCTACCTCCCCAATATCCTGTGATCAGTATACTATATATCACCCCCACCTCCCCAATATCCTGTGATCAGTATACTATATATCACCTGCAGGGTTGATGTTGTCATCTCATCTCCCGGTCCCGATGTCTCCTGAAAAGGCTTCCTGCGGACTCCGGGGCCTGTCACTTTACCGGAACCGGAAGTGACGAGCGAGTCGAACACTGTCGAATACGCCGCTAGAAGCAGGAAGCCGCTGTAGAGATCAGCTGACGGAGGCGGTTGCCATGACTACATGGGAACGCCGCTCTGACTGGAGTTGGACATCTCGACAAGTTGGAAATCTTGATAGAACGCCGGCCGGGGCTCAGCTGCGCTTCCCTGGAGCTGCCACTGGGGGGAGAGTGGGGGAAGTGTGACGTCATCGAGTTTCCCAGGTTTGTGGCAGTGCGAGTTCCCGCCAATATAGCAAAGTCTGAGGTAGTGTTGTCATACCTGAGCCATCCCTCCTTAATATACATAATAAGGTACAGGCCACGTAAATGGCTACACAGAGGCAGTGTTGTTATACATGACCTATGCCTCCTTAATATAGATGTTTCAGGCAGCAAGACAGGGGTAGGCAACCTCTGCACTACAGTTGTAAAACTACAATTAGACTCACCCGATGCTCTGAGCCGGCTTGTTCTTACACCGGTCCCTGGAGCCTCTCTCCCCCTCTAAGGCCCCGTAAATCATCACGTTCGATACACAATGAGGGGAATTTATCAAAACTGGAGCAGATTTGCACTGCAACCAATCAGCTTCTCTGTCTTATTTTCAAATCTTACCTGAGCACACTGAAGAGAGAAGCTGATTGGTTACTATGGGCAACTGCTCCAGATTCTTCTGCTCCAGTTTTGATAAATTCCCCCCCAGTGTGTACAGATGTCAAGACGCTGAGGAAGATTCCAACGCTGCTGCTGCTGCTGGAGGGGAGCGCTGTTACAGCCAGCTCGGAGCTTTGGGTGAACATAACTAAACCTAGAAAAAAACGAGCTGTGTTTTGTCTGAATTGTTTGTTCCGTCATGTTTATTTATTACAGGTATTTACCGTGTTTCTCCAAAAATAAGACACTGTCTTCTATTTTTTTTTGGTGGTAGGTCTTATATATATATATATATTTTTTAACCATCGATTCCTCACAGGCGGAGTGCATTTGACAGGAGCCGGCGCTATAGAGGAGGCATCGGCTTATGTGGCTCTGCTCCCTCTGCTGCCGCCTGGCTTATGCTGGCTCCGCTGATTATCTCCCGCTCTTCAAGTTCACCTTTATGCCACCACCGGCCACAACTAGGTCTTATATGGTGCCGACAATTTATGCCGCATTTTACATATTGCACATATTTTATTGCATATTCACATCATGTTAAAGTGACATTAAACCCTCAGATTTTTTTTGCATAAACCAATACTGTAATGTGCGCCTTACTGTAATCCATGGTTGTTTTCCTTCTCTTTGCTGCTCTTCCTTTTAAATCCTCATGTCTTCTCATGCTTGGGGAGAACTTCCCTTTGCAGCTGAGTGCCTCTTCCTGTAGTGCTGGCTCAGGTTGTAAACCTGCACACAGACACCGTGTAGCCATTCCAGAGACAAGGCAGTCTGCTGCAAAACAGAAGTTCTCCCCCAGCATGAGAAGAGATACAGATTTAAAAGGAAGAGCAGCAAAGAGAAGGGAAACAATCATGGATTACAGTAAGGCACACATTACAGTATTGTTTTATGTAAAAAAATCTGAGGGTTTAATGTCACTTTAATGGAGACAGCAGTATCTTTGGGTGGTAATTCTGCAGTCCTTACCGCCTGCTCTCACTACAGGTTTAACTCTATGCGTGTAAAGACAGGTGCTTCAATACGTTTGAAAATATACTGTGTATATATATTAGGGATGCACCGATATATTGGCCACCAAAACATATCAGCCGAAAATGGCATTTGTGTGCCGATACGTTGGCGCATCCCAGGTTTCTTTCCTCACCGCTGGGCGCTGCTCTGTGTCCCAGCGGGGAGGAGAGAAAGTGACAGCCGGCCGAGCGCTGTGAGCGGCCGGTGTCTCTCCTCCCACACCGCTCGGCCACCTATCGCAGAGCGGTGTAAGGGGCGGAGACAGCCCGCGCTGTCACAGGAGGCTGAGCTCTCCTCCTCCCTACTTCGCTCGCTTAGCCTCCTGTGACAGCGTGTCAGGAAGGAGAGCGGGTACAAGCACTCAAGTGATCAGTGAGTGTTTGTAGATCATGGAGGACATGGTATGTAGACTATATCCTCAATTATGAATGAATGCGAGTGATCTACATCACCTCCTATTCATTCATGATTGTAGTTATAGTAATCATACTCTGTCCACATGTGATCAATGAACAGGAACACTCAGTATACAGGATTCCTGTTCATTTATAACAGGGGCTGCAGAAAAAGAGATTGAGGACTCTGTGTCCTTAATCTCTTTTTCTATTTAAAAAGGGAAATATCAGGGGTCTGTTTAGATCCCCAATATTTCCCCGAAGCCCCTACAAGTAAAAAATAAAAATATTTAATAGAAAATTAATACAAATAAATATAACCAAATTAAAAAGTTTATAAAAAAAATATTTTTTAAAAAATGTGAAGAAAATTAAATAAAAACAGTTTCGGTTCCGGCCTGACAATTTTTTTTTATTTCGGTTTCGTTTTTTACATTTCTATTTCGGTGCATCTCTAATA